CGGCACTTGCTATAGTTCATTAGTCTTTTTTGTCAATATAAATAATCTTCATATTATAATCAAGCTAACTTACGTATATTGTCAATTAGTTTGTTCTTTTCTTATTCTATAATATATATATCTTGAAATAAAGTGTAAAATTCACGGAACATCATCAAACTTTAAAAAAATAGGAAAAAAACTTTTTTTGTCATCGCGGAGTCGGAGCGGAGTCAGAGCGGAGCGCTTCGTAAGGACGGTCGAGCTGGAGCGGAGTCGGAGCGAATGTTTTGCAGTGAGACTGGAGCCTGGAGCGGAGTCGGAGTGGAGCGGTTCGTAATTAGCTGGAGCTAGAGCGGAGCTGGAGCCAAAAATGGTCGGAGCGGCCCATCTCTGATCAATACTCTAAATTTCCATTGTACATACTTAATTGAATGATCAGATAGAATTTTTGAGTACATGAAATAGGATATTCTCGCAGATAAATTCATGAACTTCACAATATGCCAAAAGTTCTGTCTAATGCATTGTATAGAAATGTATCATCTACAAGGGTCCCTCAAATGTGGCTAGTACATATCCAGTTTATTCTAACTAATTTATAAGAATATTATAAATAGATCAGTGTATATCAGAGAGTTTTTCTATAGATTAAGTTTGAAGAGACTGACTAGCAAGACAATTCGAGCACCGTTCCTGTCACGAATGCATGTATCCACTGTTGGACGTTAAGCCACTTAGTTGCTGAAGATATTTCGATTGTAAAGCTATCAAATTGAGCGTTAATCGAAAATACTCTCGATTTTGCCAAAAAAATCTTGAATTTATTGTATAAATATGCTGTTGAAAAGCAAAGAGGAAGTGCCTTCAAGGACACATTTTGGAATATATACCTATGTATACGGTATACTTCTGTCAACGTGTTTCAAATGTGTTCTGTAACACGGTACAAATTGAAAATGGTACATTTCGGCGCACGCTTTTAATACAGTGTGTACGTCAAGTTTTTCTATTTCTTAAACAATGAAAGTGTGAAAATATCGTTCACATAGTATTTTACACAAAATAAATATTCAGGATTTTGTTTTTTTTCAAAAATTTTTTTTACCAAAGTTACCATCTTTTGCTCGACTTCTATTGTTAAAATTAAAGACTCACATACGAACAAATTTGTTTTCTTTCTAGAAAGACATAGTCTTCTGCTCTATTTTAATCTTTCGTGAAGAGGACAATAAATATTAGCTCTATAAAATATTGCTTTCTACTTTTTAGTTGATGGTCAAGTAAACCGTCCACAATTTCGTTCATACATTAAATTTATGAAATCATCAACAAGTTATACAATTTACGAAATTGATGTTAGTCAATCTGAATATGTCACGTATAAACAGGACACGCTTAATTTTTATACAAACGACACGACATGGAGTGAAGGCCAACAATATTATATCACATTTGACGAAGGAGTACTGTACTCAAATCAAATACAAAACTCAACAGTTCAATATGATCAAAATTTTTGGAAATTTCGTGTGATTGATGCACAAGAAGCACATTTTAGATTTAGACGAGCTGCTTCTGATGACAGTTCAAGTACTTATATACCTGGTACGATGACTAGTTTAATATTAGATACTCTGACAAGTTCTCAAATGACACCAGTTAGTAATACTACTAATATGTTTGATACAACTTCTAACGTCGATTATTCTTACTCCTCCCATTACACATTCTCATCTAGTGATAATTACTCAAATTTATCAATATCTACAAGTGGAACACCAACAATACGAGGTAATTATTTCCAATTAATAAATTTCAATACGATATTTGTCTGTTCAAAATCTCGTCTATGTTTTTCTAACATCTTTCATCATCCACCACCTGTCATTTTTTTATCATAAGTATTTCACACCTCTTGCATTGCCCATCTTCATACGTGAAAGGCTGTCAGAAAACAAAAAGTAAAGTTATTAACCATATATTCAGATAAAAATAGAAAGAGTAAAGAAAAGAAAGATGAAAAGTTAACGAATAGTCTAATAATCCTGCTATTGATGGCATGAAAAATAGTTAGACAACTAAAACATTGTGTATACTTGTATGTAAGAGAAATATAGGAAATAAATGTGACTTGGTTCTTATTTTTACACGTCTTACCTTTATCTATCTATCTATATATATAAAGAAGAAAGTTTGTTTGTTTGTTCTTCATACATTTTGTCCCAGTAAGAGCCAATGCAACCAAACTTTGCATGGCACACCCTTTCGTCCAGGAGAAGGTCAAGACGGGATCGGCGCGACCGAGGGAGGGGTGGAAGATGCTCCCCTCCCCCGGTTTTCCAAAACCCACAGTAAATTTTCTCTGATTTTTCAAAAAATTTGGAGAATTTTCTCCGATTCTTTTCCAATTTCTCCGGTCCGAGCTCTGGTGGGGAGAAGTACATCAGCTTCGAGGAGGCCGAGAGTCCAGAAGAAAGACAGACTCGAGTTGACAATCAACGTACAAGACAAGCGACTCCCACAGCAGCACGCTGGACATGCATAGAAGATGAAGCGCTTCGATACAACCCGGTCAATAGCTACGACAACTATCCTCAGTTCGATATCGGACGAATGAACAACGTTTGCTCATACTGTGGTGCTCTCAAGTGGACTGGAGAAGCGCCAGGCATGTGCTGCTTCGGTGGTAAGGTGAGCTTATCATCACTCCAGTCTCCTTCAGAACCATTAGAATCATTGATGTCAGGGACAACGTCCAGGTGGAAGCGTTTTCTGGAAAACATCAGAAAGTACAACTCCTGCTTTCAGATGACCTCTTTTGGCGCGTCAAATGAGGTATGCGAGCCAGGTTTAATGCCCACCTTCAAGGTTCAGGGTCAACTCTACCATCGTGTGGGATTCCTGTTGCCACTTTCGAATGAGAAGCATCAGTTCCTTCAAGTTTATTTCATGGGCGACGAACAGCAAGAAGCAAAGCAGCGTTGCGGTTCCCGGACAACGCCGGGTACTTCAGTTAGTCTTGTATATAGACGAAAAAAAGAGGAATTTATCGAATAAAGCAGTGCAGAGAAAAAGAAAATATTCATAAAAGAATAGAATAATAAGTTATACATCCATAGTAGATCAATGTTCAATTGATAAAATAAATTTAAACAAATTCAATGTTTGGAATCTTTATCGATAAAAGACATTCTTGGATAGAAGAATTGTTCGAAAGATTTATAGTAAAAGGATCAAACAGTTGTGAAAAACAAAGTAGAATCCAATAGGTCTCATGCAAATAAGACGTATATTTTTCGTTTCTCTATTAATATACACCTGCATGCGTTATTGTGACAATATTGTTTCTCGGCCTCTTTGCTTCACATAAATGGAAAGATAACTCACAGTCACAATGTATATGCATATATGGAACAGATATATATATATGTGTGTTTTGCAGTGATTTGCAGTTTTATTGTACCGTTAGGAGAGAAAAACCTTTCGAATGTAAAGAAACTGAATCGTACATTTCAATGCACTATATGAGAGAAGCACAACGAAAAAAGTTCTCGACTGCCACCATCAAGATGGCTGAGACACGAGAGTATGCAGAAATACTTTAGAAATCCTCGCGATTATGCGTAAATTTTTGTATGACCCAAAAGTATAAGTATGATACACGATATAATATATCTTGATGAGACGGACACAATGATGCGCATCGCACCCTTCATTGACGAATTTGGTTACACTTGCAGCTGAAAAACTTGGATTTTCAGTGATAAAAAGACTTTTGAATACAAACTAGCACTAGTTTATTAATAAAAGAGACAAAAACGCCAAATATAGTTTAGTATATGAATGCGGTACTACCAAAACAACTTCACTCGTTACTGATTTACTGGTTTATTATCGGTACAAAGAGTTAGTTCAATAACTATAATCATTTTTCAGTAATTCGCAGTTTTTTCGCGAACCGTAAACTCTCAGACGCTGTTCTTTTCATAAGAAGTTGACCCCAATGATTAGCTAAAAGAGCCAAGTTTTGTCTCAAACGGTCAAAAAATACGAGAGTTATGGATAAAACAAAGTCAAAAATCTCCCGTGACATTTAGTGTGAAAATAGTATTTCGAAATTTTATTGAGGATTTTTCTCGTCAAGACATGGTTCGCATGTTTTTATTTTTTCACTATTTTATGCTCCCAAGTCTCGTCTTTCATTCAAGACCTCTCCCAAGATTTTCAGATAACGCACTCAGTCTGGGCATCTTTTTTAATCTCATGTGACAGAAAATCGAACAATGATTGTATGTGTGAGTTTTACAAAAAATGACCAGAAAAAGCGCGGCGAAGGTACAAACCAGTCACCTATTCTGAAAGCCCAGAGTTTTTTCTATAAATGGGCTTAATCACTGACTGTAAATGACAAAGAACGAACTAGATAATAAGCATTTCTTAACGATAGGTGGTGCTAAAAATCGGCTTTCGGACATTGCGCGTTCCATATCTTTGGATCTCCTTGCGATAAATTCATGCTTTTGTCTGTGATACTGAGGACAAAATAGAGGAACAAAATTTTAAAAAAAGTTTGAAGATCGGTCCATAGAAACCAGAGAAATTTAATATTTATATGTCGCACTGGAACGGTACAATACAATTGCAAGTCACTTATATATTGTAGGGAAAACTGAAATTTTAGTCAAATTCTAGACTTTCGTAAGGAAAACTAAGATGCATCAGTGTACTTATGCTCGATTTCACTTTTTCCTGATGAAATCTGGAACTATGTAAGGGTGGAAATAATACAACACACGCAGTTTTCAAGTTGTAGAAACAAAATAATTTTTTCTGACGAAAAAATGTTCAATGAAAAAGTTCATTTTTCTTTCAGGACTGTATCCGGAATTATAAAATCTACATTATTTTCTGTAAAGTTGTGTAGAATTCGATTTTTTCATGTAACGTTACATTATTTGTTGTTTATTCCCAAGCATCAAAAAAAAATCTAGCATCACCCGATTAATCTAGATTACCCGATTTTTACTTGATTGCAACTACTGAGTAATGACAGTGGAAATCTAGTAATTGGGCGACTGCTAGATTTCTCCTAGTTGCAACTATCGGTTTATCGCCCGATAATCGATCGATTTAACTACTGCTGGTTGCACATGCAGACACATCTAGTTAAAAGTCCCTTTTCCAACTAGTAATCTAAATGGCAACTAGTCGTGTATCGCCCGATTACAGACGAAATGTATCTAGATTTTTCCCGTAGGTGATGTTTGCTTGGGTTGTATAGTAAAGTTTGCCTGTTCTTTAGCAGAAATTTCGATGTGGTGAAGAGTATGAAATATGGATGGGATGTGAGGAAGAATGGTGCATGTTTAAAATATAACGCTTAAGCAGCAAGTGGCATTGTAACACTGTAAAAAAAATTATTTTATTTTTCGTATCTGAAATCCACTTTCTCTATATTAATTCCACTTAGAGTATCCTGAGGTAATTTCGTTTAGCCGTTGCCCATGTTGCTGGAAAAGTCATCAAATTAATTGACCTTAATGAATTCTGAGAAGATTTTTATATCAATCGATAGCTGAGACTCATGTCTACCTGCCTATACAATAGCAGTTTTTCCTATTCTGAAATAGCTTTATGGTATCAATAATACTAAAAGATTTCTAGCATTGATCAGAATTATCCCAAGGTACTTTATCTAAATTTGTTTTACAACTGCTTTTCAGTTAACCTGTAAAACAAAATCATTAAACACAAACAAAGTCGAGTTTAAATATTAAAATCAACTACCATTCTATATAATTATATATGCTTTCGTATATATCTCTATATATGATATCTGTTCCATATAGAGATGTGCGGGCTTGCCACGGTCTCGCGAGATCGGGAACAGGAGTCGAGACAGTGAAGATGATTTTTGTGCGATAAGCACCGGGACAGGGACAAAAATGTTTTTAGTTTGCCAAAAAAGAAAGAAGATAGTATTTTTACTTTTTCCATAAAATATTTCGTGTAGGAGAGGCTACGAGAGTATAAGTGTCGTCTTTTTCCCAAATTGTTTCCTTGTTTTACTAGAAATGATTTCATGAAAAAGTAAAACTTTTTAGTACCATTGCAATGAGAAAAAAGTTTTTAACAGAACGGCAGAATGTCCCACAGAACAATAAGAAAATTTTCTACAGTACAGTGATCGAAATGAGACAAGAAATCTTTTTCTCTCACATTCCTAGTTCCATATGTATACCGTGACTGTTACTTATCCTTCCATTTATGTGAAGCGAAGGTGAACGAGAAAAGAGTATTATTACAATAACGCATGCAAGTGTACATTAATATAGAGAAGAAAAGAAATATACGTCTTATTTGCATGAAACCTATTGTATACCAGGGGCAGGAGTAGGCCTGTGACAATTCGTAGTTCCTTGAACTGTGGTTCCTCAATAACAGGAACTAATTTTCAGTTTGCGTTTATTGAACTGGAACTGTTTTTCAATTTCCGTTCCTGAACTAGGAATGGTTCAGTAATTCTTGTTTCTAGAAACAAGGAACGGTTCACTTGTTCCTGCGTATGAGAATTACAGTTCTTTTTGAACTAGGAACCGTTCGGTATAATCAATTTTATTTTTTATACTAATTTTAACCAACCAGTTTTATTGCTTATGATGTGCTGACTCTTTTCATATCTTTAACATGTTAGTGAAAGAGAGAGCATTGAATAGAATATATTCAATGGCTATCCTGTTTTAGCTGCATGATACCAGTTTCGTTGTTAAATTATGTAGTTTCTTTTCAGGATTTTTCATCTTCTGCTTAAGTTACATATATATCAACGTGAAGAAAAAGTAAAGTTTATTTAGAGTCGCAAAAAAGTGCTTTTTCGTATTCAGCACACTCGATAATCGAGTAGATTTTCTATTTTTAGCAAGGGGTATTGCCAAAAGATTAGGAAAAGTTTTCAAACAATATGACGAAAAATATTTCAATGGGGAAATAACTGAAACTTTTTCCGCAGTACTCCTTTTGGCAGTACTCCTTGCCTAAAATAGAAAATCTACTTGGTTATCGAGTGTGCTGAATATGAAAAGCACTTTTTCGCCACTCTAAATGAAGTTTATTTTCTATCGGTGATGAAGGTCGCATGATGGAGAAGTTTAGCTTCAAGTTTGCTTTTACAAATGATTTGCCAATGTTGATTTAATATTTGTCTCCTGAACTCTCAGTGTTAAAACGACAGATGAAAATCCAACTGTAAGGCTTAAAGAAAATATGTACAATAAAATAAACTATAATTCTACAGCGTCTTGGAGATTTCTCATATTTGTGGTATAGTATTTGATTTGACATGTTTTTTATTAGCAGAATTTTTGCTTTTTACCGGCGGAAAGCTTTTCTGCATTTACCACTGTTCCACTTCACAGTTCAAGTGATTGGTCACAAAAAACTGGGGCGATCCTCTAGTTGGAGCAGAACTCTGGGGTATCCTTCTTTTCCCAGGCTCTTCTTTTTGCTTTTTTTTCTCACATGAAACTACTACGTTTCGGTAATCTCATGCAAAAAATAATTCCTGATAGTGATTCACATAAAAGGTAATTAATGTTCTCGTGCTGTTACGAAAGATAAGCTATTAAGTAATATTGTCCTGATCGACAATCCACTAGCATATTAAGGGAGATGATATGACAGTAAGAAGACACCTATATCCTAAACGGGACATACACCAACGATGTAAAAAAGATTCTGGATTGGGATATGTCTCCGCATTGACAGAGTTAGTAAAACATAAGCAATAAAGCTTCGATATACCGAACAGTTCCTAGTTCAAAAAGAACTGTAATTCTCATACGCGGAACTGGAACAAGTGAACTGTTCCTCGTTTCTAGGAACAAGAATTACTGAACCGTTCCTACTGTCGGCGCCAAAATATAGTGCCACTGACTGTTTTTCGAATAAAACTTTTTATAGGAAAGAGACCTGGGGTTTTCAAATTCTGAAAGCAGACAAAATTTGCCATAAATCCACATGAAAACCAAGGTCCATGGACCACTTGCAGGTGGTAAGCCTTTCGGGTTTTCCAAAGGCAATGTTCGCCAGACACCTTAAAAAAGAATTTTTTTTCTTCTCTTTGCATTTCGAAGAAATGGCCTCTACTCTACAAAACCCTATAACTTTTACTTGATCTCTCTCTACCTTTCCGGATAGGGTGCGGATTCCTGCGGACCACCCTAATGCATGCTTTTTCCATATCCGGTCACATGAAAATAGTGTACATATTGGTTTTCGACGACGCTAAATCACGTGGCAATCTGTGTTTCTCGATTAAAAATTTTTTTTATTGAAAATCAGCCCTACTTAACCGAAAAACCTAAATTTAACAAAAAAATAAAAACGTAGATACATCTAATCCTCGTCAGAAACTAACTCCACTTCATCTTCACACTCGTCATTATCAATTAATTCTTCTTCAAGCTACTCCGCATATCTGTCCGCAGCTTTAAAGTTTTCTTCGTAGGTTAAACAATGATGAAACTATCCACTGGCAAGTTCAGTGCTACAAGAGCGAAGGAAGTTGCGGTAATATCGTTCAACATCATTTGGATTAAAACAAACATTTTCTCTCCGAACATATTGTTTCATTCCTGCCCAAAGGAGCTCAATAGGGTTGAGAACAGCATGCTTAATTGGTTTAATCGAGAAACAAAGATTGCCACGTGATTTAGCGTCGTCGAAAACCTATATGTACACTATTTTCACGTGACCGGATATGGTTTTCATGTGGATTTATGGCAAATTTTGTCTGTTTCAGAATCTGAAAACCCCAGGTCTCTGTCTCTTTCCTATAAAAAGTTTTATTCAAAAAACAGTCAGTCGCACTATATTTTGGCACCGACAGTAGTTCAGGAACGGGAACTGAAAAAGTTCTCGTTCAATAAACACAAACTGTTGAATCGTTTCCGTTGAAAGAAGGGAAAGTTTGAACTGTCACAGGCCTAGAGAGGAGCCTCGGAAACTTTTCGGATGCACGCGTTTTAAAGTTTTTGGATCATTGTGAACAACACATTTGAGCCGTACATGTTCTACGATGCAGATTTTCCAAAAGAAAAGAAGGTGCGCATACGCAGTCAGGATGTTTACAATTTTTCCAATATTTCGTGTGTTTAGACGCGTCTTTTTTAGAGAACTTTCTGCTGGAGATAAAAAAAGCACGTTTGAAGCATTCTCAAGGTCATTTTCATCCGAGAAATGCGTTCAGAAGCCATGTTTTTCGAAAATTGAGGAGAAACGCGCTGAAATGTTCGACATTATGACAAAATTCTCCAGTGGGGATCGCTTATAAGTATAATCGAGTATTATTGATTGATCTTTCATATTTTCTAGGTGAATCACCACCGACAATGTCTTCTCAACTTGGCATGGGTTTAGGGATTGTGTTTTGTGCTGTTGTTATTGCCGGTGAAGTGGTATATTTTAAATTTTTTTATCGTAAACACAATTGATGAGAGGTGCACAATATCAGACCGGGTTAAATTAAACTTAAAAAAAATTATATGCAGAATTTTCATTTAGCTTTCGTTGTGATTATTATTATCTCTTCGTTCAGTTACAGAAATAGACTCTACTAATTATATCAACAGTGCTCTTGACCGTTGTTTTTTATTATGTTGGTTGTTTTTGTCTATTATAGAGTGCAACTTTTTTTCTATCGGTATTTATGACAACGTAGATTATACATTGTAATTTTATACAGTTAAGAGGTTACATTCAAAGTAAACAATGCGATCCCTCGATATATATATATATATATATATAACAAGCAACATCGACTAAAGGAAAGAATGACAAACGTTCTCCTCTTCAACATTTAAAAATTGTTGATATGATCCTTCCCTCCTGCTTATTTCTGCCAATTTTAGACTCTACGTTCATCGTTTGTTGCTGAATTTAATTAAAAATATGGTACAGCATGTCAATCGTTGGATAAGCATTACCTGTTCAATATTTTTAGACCGAGATAATACACCCTACAAGAAGAAATAAATTTGTTGAAAAAATAATGTTCATCTGGCGATTCACTCAGCTCATTGACTAAAGATTGTAAAGCAATTATCACATCATGATGTTTGAGCTCAACTAAGAAAAATAATATACTATCAAATCGCATAAGTGATGAACTGATCGATTACTAATTTCGAGAAGTAGTGAGGGACACGCAGCCAGATATCAAGGTTTTCTATAGAATGGGATTTAAAGTTTAAATTTATGAATAAATTCCCTTTCATCTATTAAATAGAATGTTATAGTTCAAAGTATTAAGAAAAAACAAAACTTTCCTGATAATCGGCAAAATACTAAAAAGAACCAATACTTATCCTTCTTTGCTAATGAATATTTTTGACGTTTAAAATAAGCAAAATGAGTTAAAACTATATTAACAGCAAATAAGGATGCTAACTGATGTGGTATATTTCCGATTCGTCCCCACATTAATTTTTTTCCTGACTCGTCGACAACATTTTGGGTGGGGAGATGAAAGATGTCTGTGAGCCGTCGACATTATAAAGTGTCGACGAATCAGGACTGAATCACTGATATTACTCCTGTCGGCAGGTATATAACGCAGGAATAAAGCACCGAGAATAAGCGTAAACCAGGTATATGAATTTTTAAAAACAAACAGACTTAGAACTAGGTCTTGTTTGTTTGTAGTAAAAATTTAAGAGCAATCGTCAAGGTTTTCCAGATGAACAGTCATTTTTCAAGTCAATACTAATGACAAGAACAAATCGACCATTGCAAAATTATGCTTCTTTCAACACTATTGGCAACAATGAACTGTGTCATTTCCACAAACAATTTCCTAAAAACAATTATTTGCCATAAAGAACTTTCGGTAAACAAAAACTTTCGTTAAACGCTTCTCAAATGTAAAACTTCAATTACGCCGGGATATCCCACTAGTGAAATCTCTCGTACTCAAGGCCTTGAATCTCGAACGAAGAAGGGTGACAGGATATTAGAAAAAAATACCAAGAAGTCAAGTTCTTTTGATCAGAAATTTAAAGGTTTTGAGTGATTCTAGTCAGGATCTAATCGAGATGTTAACATGAGAATTTTTTTTACATTACTTTTCCTAGATGGTAATCATAGTCATCGGACACATGGTCGTATGTGTTTATACTCTCTTCTACAAACAGCCCAAAAAAACTCGGTCTGCAAAAATCTTTGCAGAATCTGTAAAGATTCTGCAATCTGCAGTTTTTCTGCAATGCAGATGTGCCAAGATTTGGCCAAAGATCTGATGCAGATCTGCAATAAAATCTT